TGAAATGTTTCTAGGACGAATTTGAATGTTAGAGTTTGTGAATTTGAATGAAATATGTTTTTAAATAGCCGGGAAAACCTATATTAAACGGCTCAAAGGTGGCACAATTTGCCATTTAATGTATACATTACAAAGTACGCACAGTTTATGTGGAAACAAAAACTGAAGTTCAAAATAATATTCTCAAATTGTTCGCATATTAACATAAACACATGGGTTTTGGCGCATGAATGATACAGGTTTTCCCGGCTATTTTAAAACATTTTGGTTCGAATTCATTCACCGATTCTTACATTCAATTTCGTCCAGCAACATCGATTTAGTGCACTTTCAATGTTTAATTTCGTCTTTTGTCAGACAATTTCAAATTTAGTCCAAACAAATTCAAACAATGAGCACACGCTTTTTACCCGGTGTATTCAATTTCGTCTCGTCTACGACGAAACGTGTTATTCAGACATCAACTTCGTCTAATTGATTTACATGTAATATAAGACGAATTTGATCTCTGAATGCTGCCATTCGGCAACAGCTAAGACAGATTTGATCTGTAATGACGAATACTCTCGACCCGGTGACTAAAAAGGGTTACCAAACCTTTCTCCGACGGAACTGAATGTTAGAGTTAGAATCTGAATGAAAATGTTTTAAAATAGCCGGTCATACCTTAGGAGACACCGGACATTATGTGACAGCTCCTATTTAGATGCAAAATATTTTCGTCGCCAATTGGCTGGTCTAGATCGATTGCTCTTGGTCCAAAACGTATATCAACATTCGTGGGGTTAGGATGAAGAAAAATCGGGGTCAGGGTCATAAAAGTTGGAAAAAATTACGTTTAGGCCTATACAAAACTAGGGGAATGTTTCCCTTGGGCACCCTTTCCCGTAATTATTATCATTCATACTAATCGTAATTCAAATTTTAATATGCGTGTTTTTTTATTTCACACTATGTTATGCTGGCAAATTCAGCACCAAATAAATCTTTGCAATGGGATGATCGTTTTTGATAACGTGATATGCTTAAAACATGTTCATGAATATGAAAGGTTTGATCCAAATAAAAGGTAAATATGCAAAGGTTTAGCTGGACAAAGTATATTCAGGAACAAGGGCGGATCCAGAACACAATTTTCGGGGGGGCCAAAAAAAATTTGGACTCCAAAAAGTGGGTCAAAAAAAATTACGGCGTGGGGTTCTGGGCCCGCTTAAGGGCCCCGAAAAAAAAAATTGGATTCTAGATGCTCTGTGGTGCGATCTGAGGCAACTTCTGACCACTTTAACCAATGTTTTTTTGAGGAAAAGATGGTGGTGTACTCATTGCCTGCCTTTATTGCGATGTCACATAAAAAAAAAAAAAATTAGTTTCGTTTTTTTTTTGGGGGGGGGGGCATGGCCCCCTTTGGCCCCCCCCCCGGATCCGCCCTTGTTCAGGAATGGACATTCGCCATACAAACCTACGTACATTTGCAATGTCCGTGTCTTTCCAGACAAACTTGTCAGGGCGTCTCGTGGGAAAAGTCAGCGCAATTTACGGTAGGGGGCATCACAATCACGCCTTCTCATGGACTTTAAAAATATGGACATATTGCAATGTCCAATGTCCAATGTCCAAGTAAAATATGGACATTCGTCATACAAACATACGTAAATTTGCAATGTCCGTGTCTTATCAGGAAAAACTTGTCAGGGCGTCTCGAGGGAACCGACGGCGCGATTCACGACAGGGGGCGATCCTCCTGGAGTTAAAAAAAATGGACTTTCGCTGTACAAACCAATGTGCATATCCAATGTCCAATATACAAACGGCAAGATGGACATTCCCTGTACAAACGAATGTGAATGTCCAATGTCCAATATAAAACTAACTTTATTGCCTTCTGGTTGCGGGATAGAGGTTGGGGTAGTTTTGACCCAGCCCAAACGTAACCCGCGTTAAAATATCGCATTTTCCACTTTGAAAAACTTTCCAAAATTACAAAAGCAGTACGTGGCATTCGGATTCAGAGAAGTCAACTTTTGGTCGCAAAAGGCATTTTGAAATAATCCAATACTCCAGACAGTAATATCAGCACAGTTTATACAGAAATCCTAAACTACACAACAGCGTATATTTCCCTGCTTGTCATGCTTCGGGTATTATTTTGCTTTTCAGTAATTTTGCCCTTAACATTTGTACAGGATTTTTCCCCCCGGCACTTTGGGCACTAAAGTCTATCCCATTGCCTTTATACTTGGCACACACCTGCAGATATGTGCCGAACATTTACGTCATCATGACGTCATCACGTGTCACGTGACGTCACATTCAAGGTACATATTTTGAAGGCCTGTATCTACGGAAACGCAGTACGATTGGGTTGAAGTTGGTTGTACCTACAATCCCGGCCAAAATGGTTGGGACACTTCTTGAGCCTGCCACGGTCACCCACTCCCCCGCTCCTCCGGTCAATGTTGTTCCCAGCTGACGGAGTACACACCACGCAATGAGAGACAAAATTGAACGGGGGCCGGGAGAGGGTGGGGGACCCAGCGAGATTTGGCAAGGATTGTAGGTGCAGGCCAGTAAATCGGTCCGAAATTCCCTATGCCGGCCAAATCACGATTTACATGCCCCTATAATTATTCAGTATTTGAGCACATTGTGGGA